ACCATATTCCGACAAATGACATAAAAAGCTTTCTTGAATACAAAGAGAAAAGCAATGTACAAAAAGGTATACAATTTAAAAAAAAAAAACTTACGAGGATGACTTGTTTATAACATCCTTTTTGCTGTTTTAGTAAATAAGGTAGCTGGCCTACTATGATACAACTGAACCTCTCTCACAAATGGATGCTTTTCTTCTACTACAAGTAGGTTTTCATGAATGAAATTGATGTCATCCTTCATCTCCCTATCCTCTCTAAATATTTATGAGAAAAAGTAAGATAGATTAAGAAAGGCAGCTACAACAGCATGTATCGTATGAATGATGTTGTTGACTATAATGCCCACATGGAGGTACGTAATTTAATTTATGCTCTTATACCTTTAGTGTAACGCCCCACTTGAGGTACGTAGCTAACGTTTCTTCTTTTGCTCTTATTTGAGTTGGTTTATTAGTATTATTGTTTGGTTGACCTTTGATTGAGTGGTGTGTTGAATACTTGCCCTGAAATTGGTTGAAATCGAAGAGTTCAAGTATTTCAGGCTTCGCCGGGGCAAAGAAGAATCTTCGCCGCGGCGAAGAGGTGTTGAAGCCACGGGAAGCTGCTGGATATTTTCGCCGCGGAGATAGAAGCTTCCTCGCCGCGGCGACGGGCCGACCAAAATGTTTGTTAAGTTTTAGATATTTTCTTTCCTAAGGGCAATTTGACCATTCTACCCCTAATTAGCAGTAAAAGTGGGGAGTAAATGTAAGAATTTTGATGGAGAATATGTTGTTATGGGGGTGTGTTTGTAATGAATCAAAGGATATAGATGGAATTCCTAAGGAAGAGTAAGGGCAAAATGGGAATGCTTGTGTATAAATTTCATTAAAAGGAATTAAGTCATTGCAAACCCTTTATTCCTCTTCTCCATCGCCACTCTCCTCTCTTACTTCCTCTCTTTCTCTTTCTTTTGTTCAGGAGTTTTAAAGGGCTTTTGGGTGATTTGGGGTAAAATCAATCTAAGGCAACCTAAGGTAAGATTCTTGCTTTGGTTGTGAAGCTTTGTGAGTTTTTGAGTATATTTGTTATTGAGGGTTTTTGTTCATTTGTTAAGAGTAGAGAAAAGTCAAGCAAACCAAGAGAAAGGAAGAGCTAGTGAAATCTCTCCATAACAAGGTAAGTAAATCCCAACCCAAGTTAGATTTGAGAATTTTCTTGATTAGGGTTTTTGATAGGATTATGTATGTATGTTTATACATGTTTATATGCCATGATATTGAGTCTAAATGGAGATTGTTAGTGCTTTGTGATTGTTCACACATTTCAATATAAGAAGTGAGATGTGGGTTGGAAGTAGTTTGAATGGAATTGAAGGATGTTGAGAAATCCTTTTTGGAAGTGTCTTTCTTGGCAGGAATTATGGCTATGTGAGGAAGTTTCTCCCCATTTTGGATGGTTAGAGAAAGACATAGACTTATTGTTATAGTAGAGTTTTATTATGCACTTGAGTTGTTTGATGAAATGCCTAATAGAGGTTTAAGTATAAGTAGTGAACCTTAATTCTGCAACATTGCATGTTGGCATTTCTAAGTGCATTAGTGGAGATGAACCATCCATGCATTAATTGTGCATTGAGAATGACCTAGAAAGGTAGGAAACTTTGTGTATGCACTTCTCCATGAGTGAGAAACTTTGTGGTTGCAACTACTCTAAGGGTAGAGAGAATGAGAAGTTTTAGAGTAGAGTGATGAGAAGAGTATTAGAAATGGGTTGATGCTTTGTGATCATCACCCGACAGTTATGAGAATCGGGTCAATGCTTCGTGATCATCACCCGAATAGTTATTAGAAATGGGTGATGCTTTGTGACATCACCCGGTTAGTTATTAGAAAGGGGTTGCTTTGTGATCATCACCCATATTTATTAGAAATGGGTTGATGCTTTGTGATCATCACCCCACAGTGATTAGGAACGGGTTAATGCTTTGTGATCGTCACCCGAAAGTCATGAGGACTGGGTAGGCGCTTTGGGTTCTCCACCCGATAGTCACGAAAATCGGGTAGGTGCTTCGCGATCCCCACCGATAGTCACTAAGAACGGGTTGGTGCTGTGTGAACTCCACCCGATAGTCATGAAGAGTGATGGGTGCTGTGTGAACGCCATCTGGCCGTACCTCCAGTAAGATGAGGCCATGATGTTTAGTAGAAAATAACAAAAGTGTGAGGAAAGAATCAAGAGAATTACATACGGGGACAGACAGATAGAGGGTTTTACTTACTGAGCATTATTTTGTGCTCACCCCGTTATTTTCCTTTGTGGATGCAGGATCTAGGTGATGATGTAGTCGGAGGGGCGTCGGCAAGCGAGGAGCAATAGCTACACTGTTTCCCCTGTTTTTGTCTTTTAAAATGGCCTTTTGTAAATGATGCTCTTTGTGTATAAAAGACTTATTACTTATAATAAAAAGAAAAGTTTTGGGCCCATTTTCTATTGTTATTATGCATGCATTGTACTAGTTTACAGCAGTTGTTACATTTAGTTGATTTTTGCTGAAGTTATTTTGAGAAAATGTGAAGAAAATGCTTTAAACTTGCATTAAGGGTAAAATGGTCTTTTCACTCAAAATTAGTTGAAATTGTAAGGAGTAAAAAGAGATAGAATTTCATGGAGAATGCAATAAAATGAGGGCATTATGGTAATTGACTAAGGGACATAGATGGAATTTTAAAGAAAGTGCAAGGGCAAAATGGGAAACTATATATAATTTTATGTTATATCAAGGATTGAAAAGTGAAACCCTAGCCACTCTTCAACCCATTTTCACGCCACTTCTCCTCCAAATTCTCTCAATTTCTTCACTTCTTCTTCAAAAGAAATTCATAGATTTTGGGTATTTTTGAGTGGATTTTCAATCTCAAGCATCTTTAGGTAAGATCCTTGCACTAAGAAGTGATTTTTCATTTTTAAAGTGTTGAATTTTGATGGTTTGTGCTCATAGGATTTAAGAGGAAGAGAGTTTGATCAAAGAAGATTTTTAAAGGGTTGGATTGCTCATATCAAAGGTAAGTAAATCCTCCCTAAGTATGATTTAAGTTATGTTGAGTAGAGAATTTTCTTTATGCATATATATATGTGTTGTATGTAGAATTGTTGATGGATTTGGTGTTGAATGATGATTAGAACCTATTCATGAGAAGTTGTGTTGGTGTATTTGACACTTGATGAATGTTTGGATGAAATTTGGAAGAATTGAAGTGAAAATTTTGGAGTGTGTATTTTGGGCAGATTTGGTGTTAATTATGGAGGATTTTATTCCAAATTTTTGGTGGGCTAAAAGAGAGATAGAAGTGTAGCCAAATTAGTGTTGATTTGTGCACATGAATTGTTTGATGAAATGTCAAAGAGAAGTGCATGTATGAGTATGATTATGTGTTACTTTGGGATGAGTTTGTAGATGGTAGAGAATGACATGTTTGCATTCCATAATGCATAATTGTATTTAAACATGTGAATTTAAAAAGAATTATAAGCATGAAACCATCTACATGCATACATATTCATAAGAGCATGAAAAAGCACTAAAATATGTTAAAGAGAAAACAGAAAGAAATGAGAATATCAAAGATATTCAAATCTGAATTTTTATTTAAAGAAGTGTAAAAAGATAAAAAAGAAGAGAGGGTTGTTGCGATGGGGAGCCGTGAGTGACATAGTCCCACATGCACGTCACCTTTAGTGAGCGGCCTCAGAATTCAGAAAGAAGAATTGTACATTCCGTTAGAAGTGCGTGTGGATATGGACTGTACCCAGAATTAGAGAATTCACTCACAGGGCCAGGGCTCCAAATCCATGCCTCAACCGAGTCCGGTCGACAAGAAAAGAAAGAATAGAAAGAAAGAAAGAAAGAATAGAAAAGAAAGAAAGAATAGACAAGAAAGAAAGAATAGAAAGAAAGAAAAGAAAGAATAGAAAGAAAGAAAAGAAAGAATAGAAAGAAACAAAGAAACAAAGAAACAAAGAAACAAAGAAAGAAAGAATAGAAAAGAAAGAAAGAATAGAAAGAAAGAAATAAAGAAAAAGAAACAGAAAACAGAATAAGAAAAATAAAAAAGAAAATGCATAATTTATGCATATGTGCATTTGCATCATGAATATGCATAATACTATGCTCATTATCATGAGTTGTGAAAAATTAGAAAATTGAGAGAAAAACAGAGAGCAAAACAAAGAAAGAATGAGAAAGAATAGAGAAAGAACAGAGAAAGAATAGAGAGAAGAACAGAGAAAGAATAGAGAATAATCAGGAAATGTGATGTAAGGAAAGAAAATTTAGAACTTAAGCAACAAAGAGAGAATGGTAGCATAACGGGTTTACTTACTGAGCAATTAGTGCTCACTCCATTGTTTTCAATGTTTTTGCAAGTAATAGGTGAGTTGTAATCGCTCAGAACGTCACGCAGTGGAAGGGTTGGGCTACACTGTCAAGTTGCTATTTTGAGTATATTTTGTAAATATTTGTATATAAAGAAAAATTAAATATGGGCCCATACTTTATTACTCGTTTATATGTGTATTTTCATATATATATTCAATGAGTTTTACTGATTATTGTACGAGTATACTAGCTAGAAAGAAAGTATTACATTGACTCGGCGATTCTCAAACAATTCCCAAATTCTCCCATACTTGCTTGCCTCACTATTACATCTTTTCTTGATTGCAACTTTTGCTCTCATCATTGCTTCATATAAGTAACCAGCAGTAGATCCATCGCCATCAACCAAACTAAGAACTTGAACTAATGGCTCAATAGTTTTTATAACCTCCCTTCCTCTAGCCCAAAAATCACTTTGAATAATTTTCAGTGACCTTTTTACCTGATGCGGTCTTACAATAGTCAAAACCCCCCCATTTAGATGAAGCAACAAAAATTCAAAGTTCATTCTCCAAATCCAACACAGATTGAAGCATTAAAAAATTTGAAGCAAATCTTCTGGCACAAGGTTGTTTCAATTGTCTATCTTTGGTGTAACTTTTTCATTGCTATATGAAGAACCGTGCACCGTGTCATGAACATAACTATTATTCTTGCTTCATCTTTGGCAACTTTTACCCGATTAACTTCTTCATATATGTCTGTCAAAAGAAGCTGAATTCCATGAGTAGCACACCTTGTCTTATACATTTGAGGATACAATCCAATGTCACCAGTAGATGTGAAATTGCTACCAGTATTAGTTATGAATTGCACAACATGTTCTTGTCCAATTGATTCAATCACAGAAACAACAATTTCTTTCAAATAAATGCCAGTTTTTCTTTCTCGAGAAACATCTAATGATTTTAAAAACACTGCACTAGCAGGTGAATATGCCACAAGATTAATGAAAGATCGGTGCCTTATATCAATCCATATATCAAACATTATAGTGCAACCAAATCCAGATGCATCCCAAGAATGCTTCACCATAGCAACATGCTCATCAACGCCTTTTCTAGATTCTGGAATTAACTTATCTCGAAGAGTTGAGTAAGATGGAAGCTTATAATTACCCAAAAAAAAAAAAAAAAATGGAAGCTTGTATGCTGCACCATATTTAGCCATTGTCTTAACAAATTCTCCAAAAGCACCAGTTTGAACAATATTAAAAGCGACATTGTTCACCAAAAAACACTTAGTAAGCATTTTATCAACAAACTCCTTGTCTTTTTTCTTATTCATTTCTAGTAAAGATGCTTGACTTTGATGCCTTTGGCTACCTTTAGAAAGTGTTGAAAATGGTGAATCTGTTTCCTCCCCATGATCATTAGAGTTTAAAGTAGAAGAAGAACCAGTTGAACTTTTTAATTTTTTGTTACTTCCACTTCCAAACATGGCTAAGAATGCATATGATTGTGTCTCATGATTGACTTTATTACAAATCTCAACATCATGGCTAGTAATTCCTGACAGATGTGCTTTAATTATGTAACCCACCACTAAATACTTTTTGACAGAATTTACATTTCCATTTATTCTCCTTAATCTCCTCAACATGCTCCCAAATTTGATCTTTTTTTCGTACCATATTGGTTTGAGTTTGTATTTACAAGAACAAAAAAGAGAACATCATCAAATACTTTGTGATATGAAATTTGATCTAAAGTTAAAAAAAAAAAAAAAACTTACAGCAATCCCAAACTAACCCTACATCGGTTTTTTAACCGAATAGTTTTCATCTAAATATTTTGTGATATGAAATGTGAAAAGCAAAGTAGATATTAAAATATTGGATATAAAAAAAAGCATCAATATAGAAAGTTGAGATGTAATGGGAGAAGAAATGATGAATGGAGGTGGAACTTGGAAGTAGGTCCATAAAAGCAACCATGAAACATGCTCATAAGCATGCGTCAAAACATCCTAATTTAAATAATCCATTGTCGTCAACCCTACAATTTATTTTCCTTTTTATTTAAAGTATACTTTGAACAATAACTAAGACTAATATTTTTATTTGTAATTTTATAGCTACACATATAAAATTTGGATTCCAATTAGCATGGTTGTTTTATGTTCTGAATTTAATTGGATAGTGCATTCAAAGGTCAAATAATAATAGTGTTATGAAATCTAAAAACATGACTAGATGAAGGTAGTAGTGTGTATATACAAAAGGCAGACATCCCAGACAGAGTGCACATGGGCTTACAATTTGCAGTTGGCGTTGGACCCATCGAGACAAATTAATCAGGGGTTGCAAGCTGATGGTTTTTTGTGTTTTTCTTCTTCTTAAGTATCTGTTAATTCCAAATCCAAGCCTGACAATATTATTTTTATGAATTCATGCTTTTCTTTGCGGTTTTGCCTTTACCTTTTGCTTTCACTTTCACAGATGATCTTTCATTTTGACCCATACAATACAAAACAACAAAACCAAATGGAATATTATGTTAAAACAGATACCAAATATAACTCTTACAAGCATTTCATCAAACATGTTTCAAAAAAATCCATCAATCCACTAGTCCCTACTACTACTATTCACATACCAGCACAATCACAAGCAAATCACCAACATACGAGATTCAAAGAGAGTTAAAAAGAGATGAGCAGAAGTGTGTACCATGAGGCTTGAAGAGTTGAAGTCTTGGACTTGTAGCTTGGAGAAGAGATTTAGAAGGAGAAGAGAAGAAGAGATCAAGACTTAAGAGTCAAGAGATGAAGAAAAGAGAGTTAAAGAGATGAAGATATTTGATAGTTGAACTATTGAAGATTTGAAGAAGAGATAAAGAATTGTCAAAGAGAGAATTGAGGAAGAGGAGAAGGAAGTTTCATTTAATTTTAGTCAAAACCCCACCCAAAATGGCGTCGTTTTGCCTGATTAGTTAATGCATTTTTGTCTTCAATGATTTGGTAATAATTCACGAATAATTCGTGAATAATTTGGATGGGCATATAATACGTGAATTAGACATCAACCTTGATAAAATACGTAAATTCGCATATAGAACACGAATGTACTAACTAGGCTTTGAGGAGACCCCGTTATTGACAGTCTTGGAGGCTTTTTTAATGCTAGTCTTTCCATCAGGAACCACGGTCGGAACAGGTGAGCTAACATCCTTTTGCGTTGACTGCTCTTCACTCGGGGCATTGTTATTTGAATCTTTTTAAGACTCAAAAAGGTCTGGATAGATGAACTCCAACCTCACTACCTCGGTTTTCCTTTTTTGAACCTCAGTTTGACACGTCATAGGTAGGAAGGAGAAATTGCATGAAGGATTACTCCTATACATAAGCTTGACTAAGTTCACCAATAGCGCTCAAATGGTGGTCTCGTTGTTGGATTTCTCTTTTTTGAGGTTGTCCATCAGTTGGACGAAGTTCTTCGCTGGATCCTTGTAATCTTCATAAGCTTGCAATAAAACGACCTCATAAGATGCCAGCTTGTCCGTCAAATATTTGAGGTTGGTTTGCGCAATTGAGAGCTCGGATGTAAGCTTGTTGTTGAGGACGTGTAGATAATCTCACTTAGAGATCAGCAAACTTTTTGACTTTTCCACCTTGGAAAGCTTATCAATGAATTTATTTTCCTTGAGAGCCAAATTCTTCGCTTGATTCGCTTTTTGTTTGGAAAGCTCGCCTTTCAGTGCCTGTACTTCCCCCTCCAGTTTCCAAACCTTCTCTAGTGCTTCTTCATTGCCCTTGCATTGACAAGGACTTTGTCCACATTCTCCAGTGTCTCTAAGCTATCCTAGTAAAGCTGTTGGATCATGGTGCAAGATTGAAAACGAAAAGAAAGAAGAATAATAAATAAAAAAAGTGGGGAGAAAAACGAAAGAGGGAAAGAGCAAGCTAAGATCACCTTGGTTAGCATGCTTGCGGCATGACACAACCTCTTGTAAGTGGGCATTGCTTTGCATTCATCGAACAACTTCTTGGGCACAACGTCGCTCACTATAAGAGCCCCCAAAGCAATATGGCTAAGTAGTCATATTTTTTGAGCCTTTAGCTCATTACCCTTGTCCTTATCGTCTCGATCCCTCAATGAGGCACCCTGATCGGCCACCTGGCCAGTGGTCTTTACGACCATTGGAGCTTTCCTTTTAGTAGAATCCCTCACCAGTTCACAAGACTCTTGCCACAAATTTTTGCGACCTCTCCTTAGGCTCGGTAGTAATTTCCTTCGAGCTTTCATCTATGTAACACCCATAGTGAGGTAACTTATTTATGCCTTAATGCCCTTAGTTTTATTTATTTGAAGGTGAAAGATTGAAAATTAGAATTTGCAGACTTCGCCGCGGCAAAGGAGTTTTGTCGTCGTGACATGGTACACACTGCCCAAATCGAGTTCTTAGAATTGCAGTCTTCGCTGTGGCAAGGAAGAAAGTTCGCCACGGCAATGTACACTCTGGAATGTTTCACCGAGGTGAAGAAAAACTTTGCCGGAGCAAAGAACTTGTTGGAATTTTTGAGAAAATTCTGGAAAACTTTCTTAAGGGTAAAATGGTAATTCTACCCATAATTAGTTGAAATTGTGGGGAGTGAAAAGTAGTAGAATTTCATGATGAATGCAATGGAAATAAGGGCATTATTGTAATTGACTAAAGGGTAAAGATGGAATTTCATAGAAAATACAAGGGCAAAATGGGAAAGTATAAGTAATAAATGAGATATTAAGGATTCAAGAATGAAAACTGATAATCCTATTTTTCCCTATGATTTTGCATTGAATTTCAATAGGATTTAGGATACTTCTCATACAATTTGGGCCATAATTGCTAACTAATTCTATTAATTTTTCTTTGCAGGCCTAAACGATGATTTTGAGCATAAATGACAGTTTCGAGCGTAAATTGCGTAACTTGAGCTTGGGAATTCGGAATGACCTGAATTTAGAAGCTTTGGAAAGCTAAGAAGCAGAGCTACAACTATCATGTTTTGGTTTTTTTTTTTTTTTTTAATTTTGATGGAAAAGGGTGAAAACTTGGCTTGAAATCGTAAACAGCACGTTCAGAACTGAAGAAAAATGTCTTTGGACGTGCTTCAAAATTTTTGCTATACCGTGAGCTGTAGACCTCAGATCTGGATGATTCTTGAATGAGTAGAAAGATAATTAAAAGGTATACAATGCATATGTTTACAACTTTTCCAGATTCAGATTCTATCATGCTAAAATTGGGCCCAAATGATTCTTACTGCGGCAAGGAAAAAGCTTCTCCGCAACGAAACTACTTCAGATGTGAAAAATAAAACAATGCGTTTTGGCTTGCTAGGGCTTGGTCCTTAAGTGAAAGAGGTATAAATTAGAACCAGGAGGAAGGAAAAATGGTCTTGGTTCGTCATTTGGAAGGCAGCTCTTAGAAGGAGAAGATTATTGAAGATTTTGGCTTCAAATTAGAGAAGATTTCTCCATCTTTTGCTTGCTTTTCAATGATGAATCTTGATTCAGTTTGTTTTTGTTATTTTTTTTTTTTTGAGTATGAACTGAGTTGTTTAGCTAGGGTTTGATGTAACCTTGATACAATGATTCAAATTTATATGAATTGATTTACTTTGAATTTTAATTTCATGATTGAGTGTTTATCTCTATGCTTAATGACTTTTGGATGCTTGATCACCATTCAAATGTGTGTTGTTTACAATGAGACTGAGAAGTGGTTTGTGATTGTGCCTCTTGGGATAAATACCGTAGATTAAGCAAACGCTAGAGATAAGGTTAGCGATCTATGAAATCTAGATAGAATTCCATAAAGCTTAAAAGACTTTGAACTATTAATCTTCATTTTGTTGGGTGCGGAAGCTTAATAGGGATAAGTAGGAAAAATATGGCCTGAGAAGGTATATTTTACAACTTAGGGAATTCGATTTTCAATCAAGGAATTAGAACTTGGGTAATAGATTCTATGATTTGGGTTAGCATATCTAGGTGAAATCAACACCCTAGCATTTTTTTTAGCATTGTTCAATTAGTTAAGTTGTTGGGTTTTGCTTTAATTTCATTATCATTCATTTATATTTTGTTAATTTGTATTTAGTTTGTTAATTTTCCATCAATCCGATTTATTGTTGCTTCAATTAGGACTTAAACTAGAGAAATCGATACTTAGTAACACTATCCTCGTGAGAATGATACTCTACTTATCACTTTATTACTTTTTGAGACTAGCGCACCTGCTATGCACATTGCATGTTGTATTACAACGCATCAAGTTTTTGATAAAAAATTCTGGCACCGTTGGTATGGCATAATCTATCAATGTTCTATGTGTTAGAGTAGATGCCCTAGAGCCAATCAATTATTGTAGAATTGACTCTTTGTAATAATATTCATTAATCAATAATAAAAGGCATTTTATTCTATATCGCGTAAATCATTATTATTGCAATATGTATTGATATATGTCCTTAGAAAGGTAGAACCGTGATGAGGGTATCAAGTGTTTCAAATCTTGATAGTGAGAACCCTATGAGCACATATGGTGGCCATTTTAGAAACATCCGTAGCCCCAGTATTATTCTGAAGTAAGGGCACAGATAATACGGTAAGGCTA